TATTTTAAAATTTGAAACTACTTGCTGAGTTACTGATTATCTTTTTTTATTGTTTTTGAATAGTCAGAACTTGTAGACCTGGCTGAAAACATCCAGCAGAAACTTTCTTATTTTAATGAGCTGGAAAATGTTAGCACAGTAAGTAATATTTCACTTTTAATAGTCTTAAAAAGTGAAAGTATACTAATCTTTAAAACTTTGACTAAAAGTAAGTTGTTTTGGTTCCTTGCAACTGATGCATTGTCTTATTTTCCAAAGAAATTGAACTCCCCTACGCTATCTGTGAACAGTGAAGGATTCATTCCCATGCTGGCTAAGCTTGATGATTGTATTGCATATATTTCTTCACATGTAAGTAATTCAATATATTCTTTTTAGTTAAATCTTAGTATTGCTTCAACACTATCTATTCAAACTTTTTGGTGTTCTTTTCCTGTAAAATAGTCTCTCTGCTAAATACAGTAAGAAAGCAAAGATGGCAGCTTATACAATTGAGGTGTTTTAACTGATTATACTTACTATTCTTCTACTTAATATTTATGAAATACCACTTTCAGTTTGTACAAACTGCGTTTCTAGCTAGTAAAAAAGTGTCTTAAGTTTCGCTGTATTTTGCGACTATCTGTTATTGTTCATATTTAAAATTGGTTTCTTATTTCTTATAGCCAAATTTTAAAGATTATCCTGTGTATCTGACAAAGTTTAAGCAATGCCTTTCTAAAGCTATGCACCTGATCAAGACGTACACTGTGAACACACTACAGAACCTCACAAGCCAGTTAATGAAAAGGGTAAGGCAAATCAGTAAATGGTAACTTGAGCTGTACTGGAACGTCTGTTCAAATACAGACAGTTTTCTTCTCTATTGTTTTTTGGGGAAGGGAGGGAGGAGGAAGGAGGGTGTCGTCAGTGGCATGTGAAAATAGGCCAGTCCTATCTTCCATGCCGCAGTTTTTTATGTTGATTGGCCAAGTTTCAGCCAAATCTGACAGAGGCATAATGATGAGTACAAGATTAAAAAATTCCTGCAAATTGAAGGCTTGGCAGATGAGCAGCAACTTCCCCGAAAGCCAGGAATAGGTAAGCATCTAAGTTAAAACTACTGAGAGGCAGCAACCAGCTGGTCCAGAGAGCATGCTTGCCTGCAGCAGTATGCACACTGGTAACTGTGCATTAGCCATAGTCTAAACTACCTGTGCTGCGAAATGGGAGGAACGTGCAAGAAAAACTTGGATACTGCGAGGGGTCCGCTTTGGGAATGCAGCGCAGGAGACATGGAGCATTGCAGGGAATGCTTGAAGGATGAAGGCAAGAGCAGGGGAATTGTAGGATAAAACCTGTTTAAAAGTGAAAACCTGAGAGTTCATGACATGACTTTTCTGATTATCAGGCGGCAAGCATTTTGGGATGCTCTTAATCACTTAAATATCTCCTTTTGATAAGTTTGCAATGTTTTGTGCTAGCTGCAGAGTAACTGTGACAAGTTCCTACTGGTTTTGGCAGTATCTTTCGGTCAGTTTTAAAATATTAACGATGATGTTTGAGAGTTACGGGGAAGAGGTAGGTGCTTGACTCCCACTAACTCCAGTGGGAGAAGAGAAGGAATGTTTTTTTTTTTTTGGTCTCGTCAAAACTTGATTAATCATGTGCCGCAGTATCTTAGCAGATAAGGAGGAGAGTGAATTACTTTGTTCTACCAGCTTTCTTTCTTTTTTCCAGTTAGTTGTATGCTTTGTGCTCAGTCCTGTTATAACTCAAAGTTTAAGTGTTGTGAGGGATAACCAGTGAAACCGAAAGGTGGTGAAATTGAGAACTGATGCAAATAAAGAGCTTTTAGACAACATTCATGGAAACTGTTGCTAAAGGATACTCTTGGAGTGAAGATCTTGGTTAATTGGCTCTAAATGTTTTTGATGTTTGGTACAAAACTACTTTCTAATTTTTAAAAAAATATTGTACTTTGTTGCTGTTGGTGCAGGAATTGGCTTGATGGCAGTGGGTTGCTATGGCTGAGCTGAGTTCATGTGAAGACTGGATATCTCTAGGCATGTGTACAGAAAGTAATTAAACCTCTCACTTCTGGGTTTGAACTGCTGCTTAGCTGTTAAAAGTTAGGGAGGAAACCTCTGTTAGGAGACAGATTGCTTCCCCCTTCCTATCTACATGGGTTTATGTGGGTGTTTTACATATTTTGTTGAAACATCTAATTTTTACTTCTGCTGGAAGGGCAGTACTGAACCAAATGAGATTTCAGTTGTGAGCAGGTGATGTGATTTCCTACTGGAACACAAAAGAGGTCTGGTGAGGACTGCAGAGGGGCGGATGAGGTCTTGGCATTCCTTGCTATTCTGTAGGTGTGAGCATCTGGGAATTTTGATCTGTGTTTGCAGAAGAGGATAGTCAGGTTGATTGTAGGATGAAAAGAGGAGCGGTGAAAGAGTTTTTCTGTTCTCGCTGTGTTTAAAGGGAGAGGTGCTGTTGTTTCTCTGTAGGTTAGTAGGGATAACGAGAAGAAAGCCTGGTGGCTAAATTGGGTCTGTGCTTGCTTTGTTAGTGCGAGAATCTATTCCAGTTTTAGTGGTCTACTTAGCTAAGTTTAGGAGCTGCAGGGGCCACTGCCTCAAAACCTGGCATTCCACTTGAAACTTACTTCTCAGCTCCGAGACTAATGCATAAAAGAGCGATTTCTGTCCTATTTCAGTTCTACTGGTTGTTGCTGTTTATCTGTGGAAGTGTAGCAGGTCCAGGGAAAGCCATTATCTCTAATGGAGAATAGAGTAATTTCTGAAAGTGTAACTTCTACACTTCTTCTAAAAGTGAGACCTTTTAGTCTTTGGTTCTGCTCTTCCATCTGGCTTTATCCGGGTTCTGAAACAAGCATGTCTTTCTGGGTGGAAAGCAGTGAAGAATTATTCAACTGAGAATATAAATGTAAAGAACCAATTTCCTGTTTTAGAGCCTAATCATCTGAGCCAGTTATTACTAGAAGCCAAATACAGCTTTTTTTCTTTTTTAATGAATTACTCATCTCTTCTTTTAGGATCCTTCAGCTGTGCCAAATACTGATAACGCCTTCACACTGTTTTATGTGAAATTCAGAGCAGCTGCCCCCAAAGTCAGAGTAAGTAGACTGGGAACTAATTGCTAATAGGGAAGCCATGAAAATGGGTTTATGAGTTTGTTACTAGTGAACGCAAGCATTGCGTATTAGCTGTCCATGAAAAAATTTTCCAAATTGCTTTCCAGTGATTAGAGAAATTTGATTACTGATGATTCTTTTTTTCTCTTTATTGAGTAGACTCTTATTGAGCAAATAGAGCAAAGATCTGAGAAAATGCCAGAGTGAGTATGTCTATGTAATTTCTGTTCAGATATTTTAACTTTTCAAATTCTTTATATTTTGTTATAATGCTATGTTTAACACTTCATTTAAAATAAAGTTTTAAAAATTTAAAATAAAAAAATAAAAATTTTCAAGTCGATATTACAATTTCCTCTTTCAAGTCTACAATGATGAATATTGTGTTTAGCAGGAAATAAGCCTCAGTATGCAGTTACTGTTTTAATTTCTTGTTTGTTTGGCCAGGTATCAACAACTTCTCAATGAAATCCATCAGTGTTACCTTGACCAGAGGGAGCTTTTGCTTGGTCCAAGTATCGCTAGCACTGTTACAGAATTAACCAGTCAGAACAACAGAGATCATTGTGCTCTGGTAGGAAAAGTCGGAGTGTGTTTTGGGGGTTATGTTAGGTTTTCATTTTTTTCATCTCTCAGCAAAATTCGTTTGTTTAATTTAACCACTTACATGTAGAACTGTCAGTTTTATTGGTGGTTTTAAGTCATGTGAATTTTTTTGTTAATATTTTCATTTTGTTAATATTGAAAATATTTTGTTAATATTTTGTTAATATTCTTGTTAATATTTTCAGTTTTGTTAATGTTGTGTGTTTTGTGGAAGATTCTTCTGTGTCTGTTGTGAAACAAACCTTACAGAAGGGTGTTTGCAAAAACATAAATGGTGGTTACTTAAATTTTACCAGAAACAAAAAGGAACAGAAGTTGCACGATGAGCCTTTTTTTTGACTAGTAAAATCTTCTAAGTCCCTAGTTTGCTACTTGATCTCAGTAATTCTGAATTTCACAAAACTTCAATTTAATCCTAGCTGTATTGATAGTATCTGTAATGCTTCCTTTAGAATTGGTGCAAGGAAAATCGTTTAATAATCAAGTATTTGTATTTCTTTGAATACAGGTGCGAAGTGGTTGTGCCTTTATGGTCCACGTATGCCAGGATGAACACCAGCTTTACAATGAGTTCTTCACAAAGCCAACACCAAAACTGGAGTAGGTGGTACATGCTGTTTTTGTTTTACTGTGTTTAGTGTTTACTATGCTGTGATAATAGCAGTCAGCGTTATATGGCAAATACAGTTGTATTGCAGTTTTTTGGTAAGAACTAGCAAGAAAAAGAACTTACGTTACTTTATGCTTTGGATTTTGATGTTCTTGGGATTCTTTTTCTTCAAAGTTGGTAATTTAAATTATCCATAAATAGTGTGGATGATTCGAAAGAGATAGGCACACAGAAATAGCCATAGAAGTTTACAGTGCTGCACAGCTCTCAGCTGTTTTCATGTTGTCTCCATGCCAAGGTTTGCACAGTGAATTGCAGAAGTGCTTTTCATCTACTTGAGTGTGAAATTAAGCTGATAAACTTTGGCTATTTTCATCGGGGATTTAGGATTAGTGAGCGGACTTTACAGACAAGGACTATTTGCGTTTTTCTGTCTATCACCTGAACTAAAGGCAGGGTAGCAGACTTCTCGGGATGGTGGTATCTGAATCTGATCTGGATCTAGATCTGGAAGAGAGACAGGGTGTTTGTCCTTGCATAAAAATTATACTGTAAAAATATGATGAGCTTTTTTTTGTTCAGATTTCAAAGCTCCATTGCGATTGAGTAGATTGTTCCCCTTCTCCATTTTGCTGATATGTTTTAATGGCATTTACTTTTAAAATTTGGTCAGGTCATGTTCCCTTGCTATGAAGTTCATAAATAAAACATATTCTTGTTACTATGACTGAGACAACGGCTTTGAGTGTTGTATTATCTTACTCAGCTCAAGCGTCACCGCCTTGATATTAAGTGTAACCTGGAAAAAGTACTGCTCGCTATCCTCCCTGTCCTCTAAAGCTAAAAGAAAAGGAGAAACGCATAGAGGCTCACTAGAAATGAGCCATACTGCTAGAGATCTAAATGATAGCCAAAACCCACGACTGACTCCAAGGCCAAGAAATTCAGTGGAGCTTGGAGGAATACTCCTCTAAATAGGAGCCTGGGAGGAGGGGGGATATTAAAACAGTCATGGAGGAACTAATTTAGGATGCTCAGAGGAGCAGAACTATGCTATGCTTGCCGCTAGGATCTGCTAAGTGATTACTTTTAAAAGTACATCTCAAGAAGATAAAAGTAATTTTACCCTCAACTCTGTCACTCCTTTATTGGGAGTATAAGTAGCTGTGATTGTGATGCTGCCTTTTCTTTTTTCCTGCTCAATTTAAGAAGGAGCTCTTTTCTGAAAAACTGAGGTCTTATGCTGGACATGCTAATGGTTTTGAGGTGACCTAACTGAATTGGCTGAAGAACCCAATTTCACCTAACTTAATCCAACTCCTGAAGTAAATGTCCTTAATTGAAGTCAGTGTAAAATACTGTTCAGGCAGAAAATTTCATCACTGTTGCACTTCAAACCAAGAATAATAATAGACTTTTGATAATTTGTGAATCTTGATGGAAAGTTGATATTCCTTGTCATAACAACCTACTCCCCTTTTTTGCCTACATCTGAATTTTTATTCTGAAGGGAATGTTTTGAAAAGTAGGTACCATACTAGGCTATTCCTAGGTGCATAATAAATAGCCTCTTTCCTCTAAAATGATGAGATGCTCGGAAGGACTATTAGTTAGGTGTCTATATACAGATCTAAGAGCTTACCAAAATCTGGACAAGAGAAGAGATCTGAGATAGTGTTGTTTAATTAGGCTGTTGAAACTTTCTTCTTGGTTGGTGCTTTTAACATGAGGAGGGTTACTATCTTATCAAGTTGCTCCTAAAGCTGTAGAAAGACAGAAGAGACAAATTCAAAATGTTTTCCCTACGAACATTCATTTTTTGTTTATGCTCTGAAAGTAACTGAGTGTCCCTTTCAGAAATTCCTCTGGAGCATAAAGAATGAAACAAAACAAGGAAGTTAAGGATTTTTGTTTATACTGTGGTAAACCAAAAACTGTACCAAACTATAAATACTTAAATATCCTTACTGCGTGATACTTCCTTGTTTGATTGGAGATGATTTAAATTTTCATATAATGTCAACAGCATTATCAGCTAATACATGATTAGTAAAGGGAGCATTGGGAGTGACAAATACAGCTGAGAGTGAATATGACACATGTCCTTAGTTACACATCATTTTGAACAAGAAAGGAGTATTCAGTGAATAAACAGAAGTGGGAATTTTTGATGTTGTTGCATTTTGTACAGGTTTGATAACTTCAGTTAGGTTGGAAAGTGTGTGCCACAGTGTTGAGAATAGTTGCAGTAGATGCTGAGAATACTTACAGTAGAGGTTGCCAAGCTTCTGTTCCTGTGTTCCTGGTTCTGATAAACCATTGAATACTTGGAATCAGAAGAATCTTTTCTCAAGGGGAGAACAGGGAGATGGTTCTGAGCTCAGCAGGGACGTTTCATTATGCAAAAGCCAGGTAAATCAGTTTGCAACATCTTCCCTTTGTGAGAGGTCAGGCATTCCTTTTGTTAATGAATTCAAAACTCTACCCCGGTTTTAAGCAGTTGGTATCCTGTCTCTCTTAAAAGAGCTGTCAGGATCTCGGGGGGTTGTTTATTAAGCAGCTGCTTTCTAGGACCTCTGTGATACTCTGTTGCATTTGCTTTCTTGCCCTCACTTTAAAAAAAAAAATGCCGTAAAAGAATCAGTTTGTGATATAATTTTAGTTTAGTATTTTGGGATCCTGAAAGTGTGGCTTGTCATGCTGTGTTTTATTTTTTCTTCATAGTGAACTCTTGGAGAAGTTGTGTCTTTCCTTATATGATGTTCTGAGGCCAATGATCATCCACGTTATTCACTTAGAGACTCTGTCTGAACTCTGTGGGATTCTCAAAAATGAGATGCTTGAAGATCATGTACAAAACAATGGTAGGTCATAGGTGTAATCTGATGGTTTTTAACTGTCTTCCTAATTCACGACAAAAATTGTTATTAAATTTCATAACTCCCTGGATTTTTTTTTGTTTCTTTTCTAATGGATCTTAAACATCTCAATGATGAGGCAAGGTTATTTTAAATAAATAGTTTCTCTATTTATAATAGAGAGGCTTGTAATGTAAAAGTTTGTATTTTATTTTGTTTAAAGTAATACACTAGTGCTGTAGAGTCCTGTTACGTATAGATTGTACTAATGTAAGCACCCATGCAGCCAGGGCTTATACGTGTACCAGGATTGATTTAAACGGATCTTTTCAAGTGAATAAATTGCTGCGGTTGACTCATTCGTATAGAGCCTTCTGTATAAACGATGATGAAACAAAAACAGTGCAAACTTATATGGTGATGTGTGGGGCTTTTTTAATTTTTTTTTCTTCCTATCTCTGTCTCTCCTTGGCATAGCAGTTCACACATTAAAAATTGTGGTGACAGCAGAGGAATTTATGTAGTTCATAGAAAGTGTCAGAGTTCGTGGTCTCATAGAAGTGGGTTGACCGTCATAAAAAGTCTGGTAACTCATTTTCTCAGCCTTACCAACGCGTAATGGAATCATTTCAGTCCTAACTTTGAACAAGCAATGAATAGAAATCATACTTGGTGGTTGGTATACAAAACGGAGAAACTCATTATCTCTGAAACTGTGCCAGTATCGTGAATTGTTCATTTTCCTGACAGTACAATTGTAACACTATTGGGCATGAGGCAGAAGTCTTAGCATAGTCTTTAGGCTAATCTTAAGGAGAGACTTTCTACTCCTTAAGTTTAGGCTGATAAAGTAGTTCTAAAACAGGACTTGAGCTGTTCTGGGTCATCTGTTCTGTTGGGTTAGGTAGATGAGTTTGCTTCTCGAGTCTTGCCAGGGACCCTGTAGACATTGGGTGTGATAAAACCAAAGAAGCACGTAGGTTTGGTATCCAAGCAGAAATGCTGCTCTTTTGCTTCTAGTTCCGACAACTCTTTCAAATAGTCAGAATACTTAACATGGTGGTGGAGGTTTTCAGTCTGAGATCGAATTTCCCCAGTCTGATGAAGATTTAGAGAGCTGAAGTGACTCCAAACGAAGCCTGTAATTCCTGATATTTCATAAATTTGTTTGCGTGCTGCTGTTCCGGAGATTTTCTGACTTCTGCAGCAAATCACTTTTGTGACAGCTCTATATGAGGTACTGAAACCTTTACAGTCATAGAATTCTTTTTGTAATGAAATTCAATTTGTGGGTGTTTTGTGTGTTTGGTTTTTCAGCTGAACAACTGGGTGCATTTGCTGCTGGTGTCAAGCAGATGTTAGAGGATGTACAAGAGCGTCTTGTCTACAGGACGCATATTTACATTCAGACTGATATCATAGGCTACAAGCCAGCTCCAGGGGATCTTGCATATCCCGACAAGTTGGAAATGATGGAGGTATCAGTTTATTTATTATCCTTAATTTGAATTTCTTTTTATAGCTAGCATATACAGTTGTGTAGTATAGTGCTTTGCAGATGGGTTTTTTCAGTTTTTACGCGTACGTAGTATTACTGGCACTATCAAAGTGGCGTCTGCTGATTTTAAATTATGATCCCAAACTCAGTGTCAAAGGACACTTTACATCCAGCTCAGCAAAACTGGCTGTAATTCTCACGTTTCACAACTTTATCTAAACTAGTAGCTTCTAATTCTTCCTCTCATAATAAAAATTTTTTATTTACTTTTGTAAGTAGTAGTTATTACTAGATTTTTAAAAATTTATTTATTTATTTATTTATTGAGAGAGAAGCTTAGGTGCAGTTAGCTACGGGTGTATTTTCAGAATTACTGGTCAGCTAGTGTTTGGTATGCGTGCGTGCACCCTGTACACAGACGATGTTGTGAGGAGGCTTGACTGTAGCTTTAGATAACTTAACAGATCAGCAGTGGGTTCCAGTAACCTTTTTCAAGCTCTTATTATTAGCCACTTTAGCAGTCAGAAAATTCTAAGTCCTCTGAGTCAACGTTCCTATGGAAAGGAATCCAAGTAATTTTACTTATTTTAAAAGGTGAATAATAGGAGTGATAAAAGATTTCAGAATGAAGCTACTCGCAGAATTAAAGAAGTGCTAATAGAAGTCTTTAATTCAGTCTTTGACTAGAGCAAGCTGTGTTTGATATGCAACTGAAAGTTAGTATTACATGGAAGGGGTTAGACATAATAGAAATTCCCAAGAACAGCAACAGTTGCCATTCGTTTCATAAAAAGAGACCTGAGCTATTGAAGGATTGAGCTGAGTAAGAATGACAACTCCAGCGTCTACTAGTAAGATTTGGACTTCATTTTTCTGTTCTGCTCCTTGTTTATCCACCAGAATAACAGGTGGTGCTCAGAAAATTGTAGAATTTATTTGCAGCTGACCAGTCAGTAGAGAAGCTGTTGTTTGACTTCAGAATCAGAGCATTCCTTACCTATAAAGCTTGTTTTATGTATATTGGCTGTGTTCCTGAAGAAAGGGACATTGTGTAACTGTACCTTATTGTTTTCAGTTCTTGCTTCTAACCTGACAGGCATTGTGAGAAATTTCTCAGTATTGAGTTTATATTGTTACAATCTTGTCTGTCTATGTTTAAAACTGTTGTTATGTTAACGGTTTATGTTTGAGTGATTATAAATGAAATTCCTAGGTTTTTATGAAAGCGCCTAATCCCTAGGTTAGTGAGTTTTATGGAATCCATGCATTTTATTCTGAAAGTTTAATGACTAATAAAAGTTCTTGAAGGAAAAGTGAAAACAAGTAATTGAAAAGCTCACCACACAAAATACAGCTAGATGTGATCCGTCTGTTCGTGATGGCTAGTGACCAAAAACTATACTATTAAAACTATTAGGACTGCTGGGGTTTTTTTGCTAAAATTGCATCAATCTAGCTGGAGGAAAAAATTATTGTGAGAACCTGTATTAGTTACCCCTGTACAGGCAAGCAATGCAGCATCCTCGTCTACGCCAGGCCTTATTGTCTGATTAGGAGTCTATAACGGTTCAGTTAAGGAGAAGAAGAAAATGAGTTTTACAGCTCATTGTAGAAAGAGAAGTACGCTACTCTTTGTATGTCCTCCTAAGACTGTTTTTTACCTTGTTTGGGATTCGTTTTGCTGCTTGATCGCTTTGAAGCCTCAGAACTTTCCTATTTAGAGAGACCTTTTGTCTGGATAACTGAATTATTAAAATGTTAAAAGCACAGGGCAGAGCTATTGCTTATGCTGTTCTGCTCAAATATTAATGTAGTTCTTTCCTCATTCTTACTGCCTGTAGTTGCTTTGAAGCAGACCAATTGGTGAAAAAGGTTGAAGTATAAAAATGTTGAGCAATGTTAGGAAAGCTTTTTGCTGAACTCCTGCAGGGAGTAAACTGGAGAGCACTTCAGGGCTGTCTGCACATAACATTCATGGGAGTAAAGCCACCGTGGAGATTATCTATATGAAATCCAATTGAACGAAAGTGTTGAATTGGGTTCCCCTGGTTCGAGCTTGTGTTTCTAGGTGGCTTGACTGGTTAATCTTTATGGATCAGTAAAAATGGGCAAAATGGAAAGAACTGCACTTAACACAGATCTGTACAACGCTTCTCAGTCTTAAATTGCTGTTAACGTGTTTCTGCTACTGTTTTAGAAGCTGTCTTTGTTGTGTTTTCATTTCTCTAAAATACTGTTGATCTGAGTGTAGGAGACTTATTTTACAATTTAATACCGCTTTGTCAATTTAAACGAAGAAGTGTAATGCTGCTTCTTAAAAAAAATAAATAAATAAAAAAAATTACATGATGTCTTCCTTTGCAGCAAATTGCACAGAGCTTAAAAGATGAACAGAAGAAGCTGCCATCTGAAGCTTCATTTTCAGATGTCCGGCTAGAAGATCCGGAGTCCTGCAGCTTAGTTAAATCTGGTATGCCTTGAGATATATTTGCTTATCATATTGCCAAATTAATGCACAAAGCTCATGGTGAGTGAGCATTAACTTGAACCGTCAGTGAGAAACTTGCATGTATCTTAAATGGGTAATTTACCAGAGCACTTGAGAAGAGATTTTGAGAAGTAAACTTTGTCTCAGGATTCTTAACATTTGGGAATGAGGAGCAACTTATTTTTAGTTTTTGGTGGCTGTGATGTTTTTGGGTGCTATAGTGTAATCCATTCTGTGAAGCAGCTGCTTCTGTAGTTGATAGCATCTATAACACTTTGTATAAAAGTGAGTTTCTATGTTCTCTACTGCAAAATGTCCCTGCCACCAAGGTGTGTACTAAAGGATGCTCCTGTTTGTTAGCTGTGCTAAGATAAGAAGGGTGGTTTTGGTTTGTCAAGCAAAATTCATTTGTTAAATGAATACTTTGGGTATTCAGGAGTTTCTTTTGTGTGCGCCTTTAATTGCGAAAGTGACTTTTTTCTTTGAATGTGTTTAGCTATTGCAATAATTCATGATACAGTCCTTGACTTCTTAAATATGTGACCCACATGTCTGTAAATTACAGTGAACTGGGAGCAAATGCCGTGAAATTTGGTTCTTTTAACGTCAGTCATTTGAGTGTTACAACCCTTGAAATATTTGTCTAAGACCCATGAAGAATTTCTCCTTTTATTTTGTCATTTATCAGGACGGTGTTGTCTCCCAGCAGCATTTATCTTAGCTCTTTCAGCTGTTTCTCATATTCCTTTTGATTACTTGGCAGTTTTTTGCTTTTTGGCTTGCAAGGCCTGCACAGATCTTGCTCCTGTTTCTAGTTCGAATCCACAGACCCTGTGATGAGCAGGGTTCATATGCTGCCCAGCCTGAGGCAGGCAGCAAGTCATGCAGACCCCGTCTGCCTGCAGGAGAAGGGACGAACCTATATGGTATCCTTCACCCCGTTCTAAGATGTCTGAGACGATTGGGTTTAGTCACCCCTTAGAGGTGTGCCTCTGCCTTTTCAGTGCCTGCAGAAGGAGCTGAAGTGACTGGCAAGTAGCTTAGGAACCTCACACAGAGCACCCAGGGTCTGACAGGCCTTCTCAAGGCTGTGGCATTAAATTTTTTGTTGCAAAAGGGAGAAGATACTATTTTTAGACACTTCTCACATTGATCACACAAACACCACGCAAGGGCTTATCCCTTCAGTAGGTGAAACTTTAACTTTTTTGAATGGCTGCAAATAGGAATCAAAGTTATCATGCTATTGACTCAACCATTTCCCAACATCCAAGGGGAAAATGAGAATAATACAATACTTCTATCTGTCAGGTTCTGGGAAAATTCATTCTGAGCGTACAGAGACGTTAAAGGTTGTCCAGGAGGTGGGCTCTTCTAATGTTTGCTAAAAACCCCATGACAAAATCATTTTTGACTTTATTAACATGATATCTAAACCCTGCACTTTTGCAGTTGTTGTAAGGTCATCCACAGCAGAAAGAAAAGCCTGAAGAAGTAAAACTGATGGGATTTTTTGTTCTTTTTTTCTGAGTCCATGGGAACTCCCCTTTCTCCTATGCACCTTTTGTCAGAAATTGTTTGTCTGACCGTTTTCAGCTGCTGAGCTAAATGGGGCAGGGGGGGGTCATTGGAGACATGCTTGTAAAACTAATTCATTAGAGGGTAAAGGTGGGGCATCCCTGAAAGCAAATTCATGTCTTTCACAGAATCTAGTTCTGACCTGCTGAGAAGGAAAAAAAAAAAAAAAAAAAACTAAGCTATTTTGGTGCAATAAAATATGTAATATAGTAATATTACAGGGGGCTAATATAGGGGTCAGTATAAAGTGCAGTCCATATTGCAGTCTCCTTCAGTTGAAAGGACAGTTGGATAACTTTTTCTTGTGTGCATTTTACTTTTAAATAGGTTCGGCGGAATCTCTTAATCCCAGGCACCAGACGACGATTTCACCAGCAGATCTGCATGGGATGTGGTATCCTACTGTCAGAAGGACTCTAGTGTGCCTCTCCAAACTGTACAGATGCATAGATGTACGCAAATATTTCTTTATCTAGTGTTTCAAGTGAAGTCATGAAGCGCATAGCACCAGTTCTAAATATTTTAATCTAAATTAGGAATGGAAAACTACTGGCCTCTGCTATTTCTTATTAGTCTTTTTGCTGGTATCTTTATCTTTATGTAAAACAAGTAAACTGACAAATGTAGGTCATGCTTTCGAAGACAATGTTGTATTTATAGAATTAGAAAAAAGGCACTGGTTTATATATCTATAACATTTGCTATTACAGAGATATTTCAGTTTCTGATGCTTAAGGTACTCATCACGTGAGATGAGAGAATGAGACAGGAAAGAGTAGATGGTTCTAGGTCAATTACAGAGAGTGAACTTGTTTCTGAAACCACTGGGGGAATGTGTTTCTTGCTATATGCTTTGCAGGACGTCACACTTAAGTGATGTTTCTGGTATTAAAAATGATAACTCTCTTTCTGCATTTTCAAAATGTTTTCCATTTTTTGTGGCACATCTTTACAGCTTTAAAAAATTTAGGAAACTGATGTGTATACTAAACAACTGTTTACATTCGCCAGTGTTTGAGGCAGTAGGAATCTGCACATCAAATGCAGTGTTTGCTTCACCAGTATTTCGAGACTTTCTCTTTAAAATCTGACTTTGTCTGTCACCTACCAGCATAAAAGGCTAGTAAGCCTCTGACGAACTCGCTACAAGTGTTTTTTGCTTTTCTATGTGTTCTATCTTATTCAATATATGTTAATGCGTTTCAAAATATTGTTGAGAGATGTTATGTGAATTGCTGCCAAGGTGTTACTTGCTTAAAAATAAGCTAGAAAATATTTGCCTTATTACCTTACTTACCTGGTAAATAATACCTTATTACTTAATATATGGGCCTTGTTAATGTAAATGAGTATTTACCATTGATGTTTCTGACCAGGCCTTTGGAGGAGAGGCTATTTTTTGAGTTGTTTGCATAGCTCATTTGCGGTGCGTCTGCAGAGTCTAGTTTTGTTTTTGTTTTCCCCTTTGCCCTGGGATATCCTAGTGGAATTGGTATGGCTTGCCTGCTTCCTCTCGAGAGGAGAAGGAATGAATGAATGAAGTACTGGCAACTCTGGGGACAGTCAGGACTGCTGCCTTGGACTGCTGGGAGAAGGAGGCCAGCTGTGCTGACACTACGGCTCAGCCGTATGATCTAGTCGCTGCAGCTTAATGAGTTATTCTGTGTCACTGGGCCATGGCAGCTATCGTGTTTGTTTACTAACCTGTGACAAACTTGAGGTAATCTGACTTTGCTTGGGGTTAAGCTCACTCAAATGTTCTCACGTTTCTCGCAAGTTTAAATTGCACACGCCGCTGCTCTGACACATGAAGTATCTAGGGTTACCCAGTGAGCGTTACTTGTGCAGGTACCTGTGAATGCACTGGGTGTCACTGACCGTGTCACTAGCTGGGCTTGCCTAAGCGTATACCTGTATCCAGTCTAACTAGGTGCTGTAGCAAGCTTTTATATTTGAAGGCTCCATCCTGTTTTACTACATTTAGCCAATGTGTTCTTAGTGAATTACCCTGTAGTTTTGTTTCCTGTAAGCATATACTTCACGAGCCCCAACTCTGAGTTCTGCTTAAGCTTTGTGAACACTTTTTTTTTTTTTTGTCTGTTTTCATCCCTGCAGAGGGCAGTGTTTCAGGGATTATCGCAAGAGGCTTTATCTGCCTGCATTCACTCGCTGCTGGGAGCTGCAGATTCTATCAGCAAAAATAAGGTGTGCTTTGGATATAATATCTGTGCTTTGGATGTAATTTTTTTTTCCCCGTGTATACCAAAAGCAATTCAGTAGTTTTTCAGAATTCTATTGAAATCTCTGTTAAAGTATGTTACTCTGTCCCCAGAGATCTGAAGGAATTGCTAGCCCTAGTTATAGTAAGATATTACAAAACAAAGAACAAAACAAAGATAAAGGTTCGTATGCAAGCCCGTCTGAAAAGCAGAATTGCAAATCGTGGTTGCAGGCTGCTGTAACTGACAGGAATTCAGTCAGGTGACACCTAAAGAAAAATTCTGCTGGAAATCTCTGCTCCTTATCTTTCTTCGTTGTCATTGCCTGTTACCCCGTTCTCCTGTGTTTTTAGTTTTCAAGTATTTTTCTAAGTATTAACAACTTTGAGGAGGTTTGATAAGTATTCATTGGTCAGATCTGTCTATAGTCAAAAGGTATCCTCTCATCTGTTCCTCAGATTTTGAAGCAGTTTCACCAACGTATTTATGCCTTAAATGTAACTTTAATTGGATGAAACCTTTTTTTCCTGTTGCAGTGTCTTTAATTAAAATAATGTACCAAATTGCTAATTCCTAGCAGCCAAGAAGTGAAATTGATACTTTAAAAAAAAAAAAAAAAAGTCTTAATAGGCTAAATGTGATAATTTGAAATAAACAGTAAACACTTAGCGGCTGTAACTTTTTTCCATTACTATTAGAAGTGAAGAATTGTTTTGAAGTACTTCTTCTGACAGTGTCCTTTTAAAAACGAAATCTTATAAGCGTATCTTAAAAAAAAATCCATACATTTCCTTTAACTTGAGCAGTTAACCCATTCATATGTAATTGATACAGAGCTCTACAGTTAATTATTCATCTCAGCACTCAACATCAGGTTAGTTTTGACTGCAGAGTCTGAAACTCATCCTGCAGTGAGCTCTAGACAGGTTGGCCCAGGACTGGGATCTGTATCCCTTTGCTCTTGATGCATGTTAATTTAATATTATCAGCTGAAATAATGCATGTAAGAATTACAAATGAACAAACAAAAGGACACTCAAAACCCTTCCACCACTTATTTTTAGTGACGCTTTTATTTGTTAAAACTGTAAATTTAAAACTCATTTTACTCTTTTAACAATGTTATGTCAAGAAAAGTTCTCTTCCAGCTTGCAAAGCAAATAAGTTTTCTCGAATCCTCCTCCATTTACCTCAGTGAGCCATGAACTTTAAAAGCTGCATGCAGTATAAACCACATAGCTAAAATAACGAGCAGTGCAAAACCGATTGTGGCAGTGGTGAGAACTTGGCCTTGTTTTATTCTTTGCGTCTTTGCTATACTGTTTAGAAATTAACTAGGCTTTACATTTAATGATATGAGAAAAATGCCTCATAAGACCTTTGCACAACAGTGCTGTCAATGTTTCTGCAATAACCTTGGTTATCTGTCCTGATTTTTTTCTAATCATCCAACCCTGATGTTTTTCAACTGTAAGTTATAAATTAATTGAAATAATTATATGAAGTAACGAAGTTATGAAGAATTAAGTTATATTTCAAATAATCTCTCAAACCTGTGCCTAATATGGACTTGGTAATACAGCTGTATAATTCTTCTAAGGAGCGTGAGTAAAGTCTGCTTCACTAGAACTAAATGTGTTAGGCTAGTACAGAAGTGGGACTTGTTGGTCCCAGAGTATAGTTAATGGTGCTGCAGACTGTCGGAAAAAACCTGTAAGAAAGATTATTAGATTTAATTTTGTTATCATAAGTAACTGATAAAAGTGGAGATATTGAAACTGCTGTTCATTTAATTTTTTTAAAAAATAACATGTGATGCATGTTCTTTTTCTTGTGCTTTAGACCCAGGTTGATGGACAACTTTTCTTAATAAAACATCTTTTGATTCTTCGTGAACAAATTGCTCCTTTCCACACTGAATTCACCATTAAGGAAATTTCCCTGGACCTTAAGAAAACTAGAGGTACTGAACAGTTGCTGGCTGCAAAATGGGATGGGATTGTCCTCCCTTGATGTGCTAGCAGAAGTTTTGGGTTTATTTTATGTTCACCTGCAATGACCTGTGTGCATGTTTTAATCTCTTGCTTTATTCTCTTCTTTTCTGAAGCAAAAAATGAAAAAAAGCCCTCTGTTAAGGACAGTTCAAAATGTATCTAACAAGTTCTTTACTTTTTGTGTGAAATGCGTTTAACTGTGCTTTTTGCTGTTGACCTGACCTATGTTTGCAGTCTTTAAGAACAGCGAAGTAATTTACATTTCCGTTGCAAAGAGATGTTTCTCCCCTTTGCTGACCTTTTAAAAGAAGAGTATCTTTTGTTACTGCTGTTTAGCAGGTTAATTTAAAAATACATAGATGACTTGCCTAGAATAAATTAAGATTTTCCAGACTTTTCTGAGAGAGTTGATTTAGGATGGTTTCTTTTGTTGCACATGTAATAAGCAGCCTTGTTGAGCAGTTTTACGAAGCAACCACGCCTCTTGTAGGAAGGGCAAATACAGAACAATGGCCCTATCTTTTAAAACTGTACTGTGCTTACATTGTGAAATGCATGAAGAAACCTGTCAACGGAAAAGTGAAGGGTCGCAGAATTTTCAAATTTGTGAAGATAAAGGGAAAAGTAATCAGAAGCATGTCAAGTTTTACTTCCATTCCAGAAGGGAAGGCTGAAGAAGTAACTTTTCTTTTCCGCTATCTAATATGCTGCTGTTTTTAACTTTGAAATGAGAAATTCTTGCACTAACCATTTCACCTGTTGCATTTGAACATCAATGAAACCTCCTACCTGTTGAGTAGTTTCTAGTTGTCTGGAGGTTAAAGGGTAAATACATCCTTTTGGTGTCTTAGCCTGGCTGACACACAAGTTTGTTCTCTATTTAATTGAATAAATTTTTGTGCCAGCCAGTGCCTTGCAGCTGGTGGTGGTAAGTAATGGAAAACACTTTGTGCTGCGTGTGGGGGTTGATAAGATGTAAACTGTGCTTAATTCTTAACATAGTATAGCATAGGCTGGTAGGGCTCTAAAGACTTTATATTTCTGTTGAGTTGTGGAAGTAAAATAACGTGGTTGACAGGGATTTTTCTGTCTTCTAGCCAAACTTTCTGCACGTAGATATAACTTGGTATTTATAGATGAAGGGACGTTGCTTAATGTAAAAGTCAAGCTTCCGTACTTTTTTTTTTTTTTTTTTTTTTTATAGTTTAATGTTAAGGTAGTGTTAATTTTTTTTTTTTTTTTTTTTTGTCTTAATAGTATAATGCTAAGGTAGTTGTAACTGAAAAACACAGTGGGGAGAGGTTTTCACACTGATTAACTCTTAAGCATCTAATTAAGAACTTTGGCTCTTTCTGGAATCGGTGTAGTTTCTATGAAGTAACTCAGAGAAGGAAATGAATCTTCCTTTGCTGCCTCCTGTAACTACATAGGAGTGCAGAGTCTTAGTTTAGTGCCAAGCCTACGTGCCTGGTATTTGCTCGTTGTTTAATGCCTTTGGCAGCGCTCCTTTCAGTCTTGCATCTGTTTTTCCTCCCATTGTTTTATACAGCAGCAGGGGCAGAGAACTACTACTAAAATTAGAAAGCAGTTTGAGATGTAGGATGAGAAATGAATGATATTGGGGCCACAGGTATTACTGAAACTGTATTGATATGTATTGATATTTCCCCCCTCCACCCCAATTTGACTAGATTTAAAGTTGATGACATCCCTCTGACACTATAGGAATAATTTTAGTGTCTTGTGCTAGCTGCAGACATTACTGCTTTTCCTTTTTGAGACTTTTGCAGAGACCATAAACGTGAACTTGTTATCAGCCTAGATGTTTTGTTGTTTAGTCCTAACTACAGAAATTAATCACACAGTTCTAGGTTATTTTGTGCAACCATACTTGGTATTCCAAGGCAGCGTGGGCCAAATTCTGCCTGTCTGTCTTTAACTGCTTAACTGGGTACTTACGTGAAGTCCCTTTCATTTGTAGATAGAGTTACAAACGGAAGAGGGCTTGCAGAATTTCTTGCTGGTAGAATTACAACTAGTAGCAGTCAGTTGTTGCTTTAGGTAATGTATTAATCTATTTAGACTGTGCAACCACTAGAACTGGGTTTACCATACTCAGAACCGTGTACAACTAGAAAATAGTGGCTCAAACTGTGGGTGTCTGTGCATTTCTGTGCGTGTGTACTTGTGCATGCACACCTAACAGTAGTGGGATCCCTGATGTTTTTGGGGGGAATTATGCTATGCCACTTTAATGAGTAAATGAGTGATCAATGTTTTAAATGCCTGTAGCTCAATGCCTTCTGCTTACAATGTGAGTGACTTTGTTTCACAGATGCAGCATTTAAAATCCTGAACCCAAAGACAGTTTCAAGATTTTTTAGGCTAAACAGCAACAACGCCTTGATACAGTTCTTACTGGAGGTAATACGGAGTCTTTAACTGCATAAGAAAAATCTAGTCATTAAAGTGGGCGATGATCTCTGGCAAATAAAAAGGGGAGAATTGTTGTCTTCTCTTCAAGGGTACTCCAGAAATCAGAGAACATTATATTGACTCTAAAAAAGATGTAGATCGTCATCTGAAATCAGCCTGTGAGCAGTTTATTCAGCAGCAGACCAAGCAGTTTATAGAGCAGCTGGAGGAGTTCATGACAAAGGTACAAAGGTGTTGTGTGTTTATTAATCTAACTGAAAAACTGGTGGGTCAAGGGAATTAGTTTTTAAATTGGATATAAGAGAGGCTGCTAGTACTTTCTGGTTAGCTGGAGATGATTGCATTTCCCATTATAAGGTCATAGTTCTTTTTAAATTTCAACAAGAATTGTCCAGGCATTTTTGAGACTGAAGGATCAAAGGAATGAGACACAGTTTGTTTTTAAAAGCAACTCTTTATACTCTTTCATCAAGAAAGATGTTTCTGTTTCACTGAGTTGAATCAGGTCTGTGAAATTTGACAGAAGGAAGCCTACTATCCAATTTTTACTGAATTTGTAAGCCTCCAAAAACAGTCTCAGGTCATGCAGCTTTCAAGGGAGGTCTTAAAGTAAGGCTGTTACGTTTGTTAAAGGTTGTCAGTTTTCAGCAAGCCTCGGACCAGCAAGATGCTGGCTGAGCAGGACTTTCCTCCTAAGTCCTGTTTGTAACAGAAGTTCCTGACAAGACTTAGGTGGAAAGATCAGACATCGTAGGGGCCAGGAACAAAAAGGCATCGCTTTACAATATAGTTCTTCCTAGACTCTACTCTAGAACTCCAGATTCCTAGACATCTGGAGAAAATCACACAGCAGGATCTGTTCTGGAAACTGAAGCTTGTGTACTGAGCATGAGTGGTTTTATAGCATAACATCTCAGAAGTTGGGGCTATAGTGTTGCATGGATAGTAGAAACGTGCCAGTTGCTGCCTTTTGAGAATTCAGAAGACTGCAGAATTAGATTTACTGATGCCTGTAGTACTGGGATGAGGGACCATTAAGATGCCTAAAATATAGATTGATAACTGGTGAGATTGATAGAGTTGTCCAAGTGATCCTGATTTTATTCACTGGCAATTTGGGGAGTTTGCCTAAACTTTTAACGCATAAATCCCTGTTGAGGTTTCTCTACGTGCCTATGTATCTTTGCAATTTTCATCTCGTTTTGAATTTACTTTGAAGAAGTGATCATGATTGTATTTTTGAATTGCGTTTCTGTCAAGCTTCTTCCCCTCTTTATTGTTGAGCCAAGGCACAGAAAAGAGAGAGCGGGGAAGATTCAATAAAGTATTGACTTGCATGAAAGACTTGCACAATTGTACCTGGGTCATGTTGTTGTGATTTCAACTGAAAGAAATACGTACCATTTTGTTGATTGTGATTGTTTTAGGTGGCTGCTTTAAAAACAATGGCCACGCAAGGAGGTCCCAAGTACAGCCTTTCCCAGCAACCTTGGGCGCAGCCAGGTATTTGCTTTGTTTTTACATTCTTCATGTTACCTCCGAGATGCTTGTATGCTAATAAAGCCGCACACATTTACTTTTTTGAGACTACTGAAAATTTCTCAAATGGAGAAAAGACCCCTTCCAGTCATCGTTTTTGGTAGAGCAATCTAAGCTGCATTATATGGAAACTAAAGTATTTCAGAACGTCATTCGTCTTTATGTATGCTTTTGTGCGTGACTTCTAAAAAGTAATGCGCTGAAAAGTTGGGAAATGTAGTGCGGATTTTGAGAATGTGATTGATTTGGAAAATTCTGAGTACCTAAGAACTCCCTACCTTTTTCTTGAAAATCTTGGCTTGCATTTTGTCCTGTATTCTAGTTTAAATGTCTTAAGATTCCTCTAAATCAAACTCTGGCAAACTTCAGAGTATGCATTTAATTGATGCAGAAGATGAATGACTTCAGCGTTTCTCAGGCTGTGACTGTTCTTGCATGAAAAGAGCATTTCCACAGCTGAAAGCAGAGTGTGCCTAAGGAATTATTTGATTACATTAAGATAAGGCTTTTGCTTTTATAAGAAAAAATGAGTCTATATTGAACCTTTTATTGTCCATAAGGTTGTTAACTATTTCCTCTTCAGTTTTTCTACGACTGTCTGAAAATGGAATCCAACTTTGTTTCTCTCTTCCTAAGAACTCAAATGCAAATGTTTTGTAGGAATGTTTGGTAGTGTGGCCTAGTTAAGGTGTTCCTGGGTTGTTTCACTGTTCATGTTGCAAAGTTGTGCTTCCGCGTGGCACTGAGAAATCTTATTGTTCCAGCTCGTACATTGGAGCCTTGTGTTCCATCGTGTTCTTAAAATGCAAAGCCAGCCATATTCATTCATAATTCAGTGCTGCTGCATAGTTCAGACAATCTCAAGGGCTAACTTGAGCTCTTGCTTATTTCCTGCTTGTTCAGGAGTATTTTTAACATTTGTTTGGAGATAATTATGTGTGTAGAGGCAGATAGAAGCAGAGCTTGTGCTATTTCTTGGGGTCATTTATCTGGGAAGTAGGAGTAGGTGGAAAAAAATTTAGATACTGTAGAAATTTAGGAAACAAATAAAATATTAACTTTGGGGATTTAAAGCTATGAAATATGTATTTTGCCTACCCCTTGAGCAAAGACCTTGTAAAACCATTAAAATAGTTAGCAGTAAAGAAACAAGAGACAGGATTCCTGTCTGGTTAATTCATAATCCAGATGGCCGTGCAGCCTTTTTTCTTTCAGACATGGCATATGGACAGTAAGGAGAAGTTGTGATATGCTGATGTCTTTAGTAGCGCTATTTATTCCCCAGCAGTTGCTTTTCCAGGTAAGGAAGTTTTCTAGAAGGAAGCCTAAGTAGACCATTGTTGCTGTTGGAAGGCTGCAACTTCAGGAACCCCTGGAGGCTGTGGGGAGCTGGCAGAAATGGGTTGGATGGATTTACTGCAGGGAAAGAAGGATCACGTCTTGAGCAGATCCTGAGAAAGGAGCCTTGTCTGCCGTGTTGTGGTCATATGATGGGATGATGCTGTGCAGCCCAGTCACCATCTCTTTCCATTTCAGTCTGCATTGTGGTTATGATCAGCCCCGGTAAAGTGGAGGTGATCTTCTGGAACGTAGATTTCATCTAGCAGAAAGGGCATCCTCATCTATTAATCATGTTTACTTTTACTTTCAGCAAAGGTCAATGATCTGGTCTCTTCCACTTACAAGACAATAAAAACAAAGCTGCCATCAACGTTACGAAGCATGTCATTATACTTGTCCAATAAAGATACGGAATTCATTTTGTTTAAGCCAGTCAGGGTGAGTATTGTTAGATATACATGAGCATGTCTCTCTGCAGCTGTTGGGTCTTAATTTAGTTAAATACTTTAAACACATCTTGTAGGATCATTCAGCTTGTTTGTGTGTGTGTATATGTACACACATAGAGTTATTCTAGGCTAGCAGTGCAGCCAGTAAACGCATGATAAATGCCATGCACACACAGCAGTGAATAGAACGTTGCAGTCAGCGTGGTGCCTCTGATGGGAAGAGCCTGTTGAAAAGGCATATGACAACCCCCCTGCCCCTCCCCGAAAAACAAATGGTGTGTTTATAGATTAAAAAAACCCACTGTCCTGCTCTTCCATGTATTTAGCCTATGAAGGAGATGTTACTGTTCATTCTGCATGTTTCCCACTTGTTCTAAGCTTGGTCGGTTGTGCAGGGGCAGAAGCACTGGTGGCAAGCAGGGTGATGCAGATTCAACTAAGGACCCGTTGTGAACCCTCACGAAGAAGCAAGCTTGAGTTCTTTAAGCTTTAAGTCTGTAGGACTTAATGTTTCAGTTTAGCATATCTTAGCTGAAGTTCTTGTCTCACAGCCAGCTGTATTTCTTTGCTGCTATTCTGGGGTTTATTTTAAGAGGAAAGCCCCTTAAAGCTCTGCCACATCTCCTGGCCTGGTCGCTTAATAGCTATTCCATGTACATCATGCTTACTCTAGCTCATGTTTGAGATGTGTTTTGAGTTATTTCAATATTGATTCTTTTTCTCTTTTTCCGTCCCCCTTTACAAGAATAACATTCAGCACGTGTTCCAGAAACTCCATGCTTTGTTAAAGGAAGAATTTAGTAATGAAGATCTCCAGATCATAGCTTGTCCTTCAATGGAACAGGTATATATTGAAGCTCCTTGTTTTATCAGTCCCTCTTTCGCATAACTGGCTTTATTTATAAAGCGAAAAAATATTAACTTTTCATTTTAATACTTTTGATGTTCAGAATCCTTTTCCTTTTTATCCCCTTAAAGCCCTGGGTTTGATGATCCGGGTTAATCTGAAATCTAAACTCTCAGTGAAAAGTGTTTTTTGTTTTTGTTTTTTTTTTTTTAATGAATCTGTTAGGATGGTTTTTAAATTGAAGATGGTGATTGATGTTGCTGAGGGGCTGGGCTGTGCAATATCTTGGCAAAGTATCACCTGGAAGACTTCATCTGTGTTTGGGCTTTATTTTTTTGGGGAGGGATTGGGGATAGTGAATATGCTTTATTTTTTTTTTCCCCTACACCTGTGCACGTACAAAAAAGAGTCTTACTTTTGACAAATGAGAAGCAGCAGCTTTTGCATATAGGAAGCAGTGGGAATATATTATAAGGGTCCATTTGAAGTAAATAGCATTGGGAAAATGTACAGATATTTACAGAAAATTAACTGTGTGTAATAAGGTCTTTAGTCCCAGAGATGGCTGAGGTTAAGAGTTCTCTGTATTAGGATGCTCTGACGGAAACCAAGTAGGTTCTACCTTAGTGGTCCAGTGACTGTGGATAGGATCATGACTATCCCGATTTGCCAATATTTAAACAGATAAACTTTTTGTTAAGAGGAATTTGTCTGCCGTGAGTGTAGGAATAGAGAAGCGTGATAATTGTCGTGGAGCACAGAGTAGGAGTGATGCACTGGAAAGAGGTGAGGTTGTCATAGAGGAGTTGGCTTCCTCTAACACTATTTATCTGTTGATCCTTAGGGTCACTTTTCCTACAAACTGAAGTGCATAGAAAACCATACTGTAATTTGTGGAGAAACAAGTATTGTAAAGGATCTTGGATGTGCTTTAAATACCGAAGAAAGTAGTTACTGTCGTTTTCTGCTAGTGTACTTTTTTTCTTGAATCCCTTGAGAATGCATGCCTTCTTTTAGAAGGCTTAACACAATAGGTTGTGGCTGCTGAAAGAACTTAGTCAGCGTGATCAACAATTGCATATTAAGCCTGTGAGTAAGGACATGACTGGAAATTTTGGACAGTTGTCTTGTAATGGTTCTCCTAGTTTCTCTAAATCGCTATGCGCTTCTTAGGATTCTTTTTTAAAGATAAAAGCATCAGACATCAGCTCTTGAACTTACGTGTTCTGTCTAATGTTAGATTTTCGCTTTGTCTTTTAGGTGAACTTACTTTTATCGATGTCTAAATAGCCCAACAGTGAGGCTGCTTGAAGTAAATTTCAACTGAATGCCAAGCAGTGAAGGGGATGTGAAGATGTTTGTTTGGAGTAAACAAAGGATCCCACTGTGCAGTCCAGTCTGCATTAAAACTCTGCTGGTTAACTCTGATTTACGGGGGGGGAAAAAAATTAGTTCTTTAAACTCCTTGATGGTCTTGCTGTTTGATGGCTTTAGTAGAGGAGGATCCTTTGCTGGTCATTCTTGTGCAAGCTCAATTACTGCCTTTTCCAGTCACAGAAATCTTCAAGGTGGGAATTCTGTTGTTTGTTTGTTTGTTTTAAAAAAAAATTCTTTCATGTTTTCCTTTAATAAGCTGATGTATTCAGTGAAAAGCAGCACTTTTCAAAGACACTGTAAATAAAGTGCAGGAAATCAAATGGAGAAGGGAGTAGGTATTTGCAGGGCTTTAGAGATAAACACATTGGATATGTCAACTTGATTTTTGTAGGCATGCTCCAGTTTTTTTTAACCCCTCTGAGAATCCTGGTAATCCACCATGTGCTTGAACGTTATTCAGAGGTTGTTAGTTGGGAAGACTTTATTTTCCATGAACTTCCTGAAACAGCTGATATGTTAATTCTTTTTATATTCTCGTGATTGGGGAGCTGTGAGGTCTGACCTGAAGGGTCATGCTCTAACCTATTCCATGTAAAGAATCTCAAATGCCTGGGATTTGCAATGGAAAGCTGTGCAATATAATCTCTGTTGTTTCTGAGGGAACTGTGTTTTCAGATTCTTTACAGTAAAGGCAAGCATTGAGCTTCTCAGGTGCACTGCAGTTTCAGGTTAGAGTTTTTTCCTTTGCCTTACCGAAGATCAAACGGTGTGTTGTGGTGTTCAAAGTGGGCTGCTGTCGTCACGGTGGAGCAGGGATGGGACAGAAGCTTGTATGCTGGAATAAATGTTAATACAAGTGGGGGGATGCCAGAAATAAATGTGAAAGCACCATCAAATCACCATGGTGAACAGGGGGATAAGAGAAACACTCAGTAACTGGTAAACAATGCACTGTGTTTGTTTCAGTATACATTAATTGGTACACTGTTTCAGAAAGCTGAATGCTAAATGTTTGTCCATTAAGAGAATGAAACATTAAAAGCGGCTTTAGAGTATCTCAGTGCATAAGTCTGTCTTGTACAGCACTGCAAAAAAAAAAAATATGGTGACTTACCTGGCAGATTTTTTTAACTTATTTATAAAACCTGTTCTAGAGTTTGAATTATGTTGAATTTTCCATGCACATTAGTGATGTTTTGATATAACAGTTTTGCTGTTATAAATCAAATGGCTGGAGACTCAAATGTTAGGATTTAAAGCTACCAAGAGAAGTGTTGCAGCAATGGTGCTGAGGTACATAAATGGTACTTATAGGACCTTCCATAACTCCTTAAAATTAACTAAAGGAACTAACGAGGAAGAAAACTTACCCTTTCTTTTTACTTTTATGTAGAAATATAGGCTGTAAAATAATGTCCAATGCCTTGTAATATATGTATATTTGAGGTTTTTATAAAGTTTTACAGAAGGATTGCATGATCGCTGTACAGAGTTATGACTGATTTAATACATTGTACAGAAAAGATGTGAAGGGTGAACCATTACAGTAGTCTCTCGTGTGTGGAATCTTTTCACCTCTAGAGCACCCAGACAGCTCTAGGCCTGCTGGTTGAAAGATTAGAAGGGCAGTTAATTTTTACAGCCTGTTTGCTATATGAACATTTGTTTAAACATGTACAGTTTCAGATATTTACGTTTACAAATAGTGTAAATACTTTCAAAAGATTAATTTAAGATGCTTTATATTATCTGACTAGAAACGTAATGTTTTTAATTTTTTTAAATAAAAATGTTGCCTCTTATTTTGGTCCAAGAGTAAAGCTTTATTCTGTATCCTGAGGCTTCTCTGTCAAGATAACTGTAATAGAAAGACAATAAAAGTTCTGTAAGCACACACAGTGCTTTATTAGAAAAAAAAAATGTCCTTTTTTTAGCAATAAGAGAATTGGCTTTATCTGGCATAGATATATCCCTGAGTGCTGAACGTACAGCTAATTGTTAAAGTAATCCCTCTTTATGGTCATAATAAAAGGAAATTTGTACTTTCTTTACTGAAAAAATGATCTTGTGTGACTGAATGGTCTCTTTGCTGCAATTTTATTAAGGGGAATAAACTACAATTGTAATACAAGACCATATTTTAACTAGTTGGCCGTTACTAAGCGTAAACTTGGGAGTTGATGGCAGAAAACCCTAGTATTATTCAGGCCTTATTTTACATGATAGCTGTTCTGGTTGATTGGTTACTCACAGGCTCACCTACGCATACTTTCTCATTACCAGATATTGTTCTTCTGGCTCTTGGTCTCATAGGAACACATCTTCCGGCGGCTTGTGATTTGTTCCTTGTACCCTCAGTAGGAAGCTTCCTCTGGCTTTCACGTTGGCGTTTGGATGAACTACTGCAAGGAAAGACCCTGCTTTCTTGTGGGTTTGGCTTCTTCCTTGCTGACGGGGGTGGGCAGCAATTTGTCACTGGTATCCAGACGCTTGGGATATCCTAAAGAGATTTCACCCGTTGGACTCTGTGTCTCAGTAAATTAAGTGAATGCCAAAGCAGTTGCCCAGGCCTTCGCACTTTTTTTGTACAACAGGAGCGCTGGCAGTGTGGGTTAGAGGTCTCAGTTCCTTCGAATGATTTGATGGCAAGTAAGACTGCAAGATGCCAGATCCATTTAAATTAGTCTTTTGGCATTGCCCTTTGCGTAGAAAACTGAAATTCTATCACAGAAACCAAGGTAACAGCCAATTAACTGGCCTAGTGAGGTTAAAAACTTCATCAGGAAATAACAAATTGAGACTAAGCAGTTAAATTGCAAGTGAGAACGCAGCTGAAAGCAAAAGATACTCAAAGGGAAAAATAAATTATATGGTAACATTAAGCAGGCCCAGGTCTGACAATGCCCAATTAAAAAGGAGCCCAGTAAATAAAATTACAAAGCAAAAAGGGGGGTTTGGGCTACTGTGAGGTGAGCGGAGTGCTCTCTCAAACCGTCGTCTCCCAATTATATTGTTTTCTGCTCTGGGAACAGCACCTCAGCAGGAGGCTGAGGAGTATAGCATGGCCGGGTGCTGGCTGACCCCCTGGAGAGAAGTGCTGTAGTCTGTTATGGTGGTCTCCTCCACGTAAAGCCTAGAATTGGCAGCTAACCCTCACATGAGGTCTCTAGCTTGTTACAGGCTTCTTTCTAGTTTTATTGGGGCTCTGCTAGAGACTATCTTTTCACCCCTTAACAGTGTGAAGAAACCCTCAGGGGTAAACTTTAAATAAATAAAAATCATTCTGTCCCTTTCAATCGGGAAACTAATGGTTTGTGACTCTGACACTAAGCCACGAGACTGACCGTCTGCCAAGAACCAGAGACTTGATACCCAAGAGGCTCCTCATCTTGGCACTCTCTTGGATTAGCCCTGGTCCCTCTACCCATACTGCTCTTTTTCGTTCCCCATCAACAAGTGTATGTGTTTAGTTGAGAGACAAAGAAGGTTCAATGGATCAGGGTCAGTATTAGGTGGTTCTGTAAATTCAGCTTGTCAGCTGTAGGAGGGAAGCCATCTCCTGCTCCAGAGTCCTGTGCATTCACTATAATACCACTGCAGTCCATCAAGTGTTTTCAAACAGACGGGCTTGGTGTTGTAGGGACTTGGCAAACAGGAAGATAGGTACTGTGCACTTGAAGAAAGGAGCTTTATTTTCACAGCAAAGTGACTGCTAATGCCTTGATGAAGAAAAAGTTCATTTGAAATGCCAGTGTAAGCAAACGTGGCTCCAAGTCTTTATGTCTTCGTTTCAGCATTTCATGCAGATAGTGGGTGACAAAAGACAAGGAGTGAACTCACCGAGGGAGGGGGTGCCAAAAGCGATGCAACCCTGTTTGTATGTTGGATAGCAGGCTCCTGAGCTGAATCTTCTTGGATTGAAGGAAGAGCTCCTCTTCGCTTTCTGGCCATTTAAGTAAGTGTCTTGTCTCTGGGTCTTTCAACTGCAAAGAGAGCCCATGTAAAGAGAAGAGCATTAATGCTGAAGAGAGGCCGAGAAAACTATGTTCTGCTGTGCTGTGGTAGTCTGAAGTGCTTGTTGGACCCTTGCTTGACCTATTTATCTTACAGAGTTAAATTTGCCCTTGTAGTTGACCTTTTGCATGTGTCCTGGGCTGTCTTTTCCCTTCGGGTGCCCGCTGAGCATACAAACCCCGTGGATGCCCTTCTAGGGGCTGCGTACTTCTTGTACGCGCACAGGAGATGATGGGACCAAGCTCACAGCTCCAGCCTCCTTCAGTGGAAGAGGGTTGTGCAGAAGTAATGTAGCAAGGAAAAAGCCCTCCTTATTTAACAGCACCGTGTGGTGAGTGGGTCTAGGGAAGAAATCTGAACTATGAGGATGGAAGTCCAGGTCCAAATTCTTTACGGTTCCAAGTACTGATTTTGGGCAGCGAAAGGCATTATCACCCTTTTGCAGATCTAGTCCTAAATGGCTCTTTCCATTAGCAATAAATCTGTGGTCGCCTGTGAGAGTATTGCTTTGAGGCCAGTCACAACCGCTCTCTGTTGGCACTCGGGAAGACAACTTGAATCCTTCACCCTGAGCCGACAACCCCCTGCTGAGCGTGAGCTCTTGGGGATCCCTGCGTGCGCCAGTGTTGTGAGATCCGCATTTCGGAGCTGATCGGTAGCATTTGCATCCAGCGGAGGATGTGGATGCACACTAATAGGCTGGGACAGTCACACCAGCACTGAGCAGGGCTGAGCTCTGGCGGAAACAGCATTTCTACCTCCAGGGAAGGGTCAGAGGTTGGAAACTCAAATGGCAACAAATACCAAAGGATTTCAGCTTTCCTCTCCCTGTATGCCCCGCTCATATTAAGTGAAATGCTTTTTAGATAAAATCACGAGCTTTGTGTTTGTATTGACATTTAATATAAATGTTTTGAAAAGAAATAGTGTTTCAAAATGAATTTGAGAGAGGTGCTGTTCTTACCCTTCAGCAACAACATTTCAATCTTATCTAAATGCTTTCCTGAAAGGGAATTTCATTAAGATTCACACAGGCAGGAAATTTGAATGAAATGGTGTTTTTTCCACCTGAAAATTTGTGACCGGTCCTATTCGGCGGCCACAGCAAACATGGTTTATTGCAGCTGAGCCATTTCCCTGCTGCTGCTGCTGCTGCTGCTGTCCTTTCAGTTGGTAAATAGGACCTGGCTAGGTAGCGCTAACACGGTAGGGACTCACCTTGAGCCGGGTGCCCACATTGAAATGAATGCGGTTGCTGTGGTTTGTGAACGTTAAGCAAATTTGATCCTGAGCCACAATTTTAATGGTGATGTGACTGTTCAGCTTCATGAAGATGGACTGGAAAGGAGGGCTGTGAACGTGAGGGCTGAAGTCCCACCAGTTCCAGCGCTTTTGGCTCGTCCCTTCCTGGTGAAAGCAGATCCCGGTGCAGAGATCCAGGGCAACCCTGGGGACAAACGCAGCACCTTGCGCCGAGGCTTGCAGCAGGCGCGTGGCCAGTGTGACGGCCCTCCTGCCCCAGCCCCACCACGCGAGGCCACCCAAGGGACCTGAGCCCTGTTGAGCAGGGCTGGAGAGCAGATCTGGCATGGCGCCTGCATGCTCCTGCAGGAGGCCCGTTGTGGGGCTTCCCACGGGGTCGGGGTTATGCTTTTGGGAGCTGACAGCCCCAGTCTGAGCAAGGAAACGTTCATTTGCTCAGAACTGTGGTCTCACAGTTCAATTAAAAAGTTTTAACGTGTTGCCGTTCATGTCCCTCATGCGCTTTTGGTTGTGAGGACCCGTCACTGCTGTCGGGTGCGATGGTTAAATGAGGGAGTTTCCGGCAGTGAGTTTGCGCTTGAACAAATGGCAGGAGGGGATTTTGGCCCCATTGCTTTCTTAATAGGTTTTCTCCTATAGTAAAAACACACTACAGAAATTAGCCTGCCGCCAGGAAAACAGTAAGTCCCTAAAGGGCAAAAAAAATAACCAAGTAGAGCATGGGCCGAGCATGCGTGTGGGTCTCCTTCTTCCTATTGCACTTTTATGTCTTCTGAAAGTTTTCACTGTCAAACAACCAGACATGGCTGCTGCCTCGGCTCTGGCAACCTTTATACTAAAAATAGATTATGTTTGTGTGCATGTGTATGTGTGGCTGCGTGCAGGAAACAGCCTTGCCAAAGAGCAAAAGAGAGAAACTAAGTGTAGGCGTACGTGGGAAATAGCCCATATCTACAGCATACAAATACAAATCAATACTCCCCATCTCGTAACAGTCTGGGTAGATGGCTCTGGGAGCTGAAATATCCCCCAGATGCTGAAGGAGGGGAATTTTTGTCATTCATTGCATGTGTCACTTTGAATGTTTCCTGTCAAAGTGTAAAGAAGTTGATTCTCACCATGCTGCTGTTCAGCCCTGACAAGCACAGCAAATGCCTGCGAGCGGCTCAGTCTCCCTCCTTCTCCCCCACTATTACCTTGTACTGCAGCTCAGAAGAAATGAGAGGAAAAAAAAAAATAGCTAACATCAGAGCTTTGATGTGCTGGAGCACGGATTGAAGACGTGCCTGGATTGGTCTGCGTTCAGGACAGATGGCCTACCCACAGATTGCTTATTTTGTGATTTCTTCTAGTCAAAGTTATTGGATTCTCTTTATAAATATATAAGAACGGTCGTGTATTCAGCACTGCCCTTAATTGACGGCTGCTGGGAGACACCGAGGGAGCACTGCAGTAACGTGCCTGGTGCAGCTGGCAGCCTGTTTGGGCTAACGTTGGTCAGCAGCAGCAGCATGAGTCCTGCCTTTATGCTTGCCCCCAACCCTTGTCCTCTGCTCTTGCATGCTGTCTTTCTCTGGAAGAACAGGCAGTAGTGAGGTGCTACTTTTAAGGTAATAGCAGAAGACACGAGGAGAACGGCAAGGGAAATTGTAAGGCCTGATGGTGGAGTAGGAAGCATGTGGTCAGGCAGAGCTAAGAGTGCTCCGAGCCCAAGCATTTCCCTAAGTTGGTTTGTGTGATGCAAATGGGACTTCCACCACGGCGCGT